TCTAATATTGCAGCACGCAAGGTACGCGTCCCTAAGACGCCAAGTACTACGTTGCTCTAGTTGCCCCAACCTGGTAGGGCGTCCCCGCTTGGTACGATCCCCCTCTCGGCCTTTTCTTCCGGTGGCGTTCTTTTGTACGGGCTTTGTGGCCCCCGTCTGCCCTAAATAGTCCGAAGCTCAGCTTGAGACTTCCGCAGGTCGCCTAAAGCTTGGTACATGAGTCAGGAATTTTTTAAATCCACTACTTTCTTAATACAACCAAACTAGGGCAGACGAAAAGTAAAAATTGACGGTCACATAATAGAGGTACCTACCTGATATACGAAAGCTCACCTCGGATTTCAAGGGTCAACAGAAATACATAGCCTAAATAGGTACCTAATGGGTTTGTTGGCGATCAACCTAGCACTACAGCTCCCGTGATTTTTGCGAAGTGAATACGAAATCAGAGATCCGAAGTAACACGACAAAATGTTAGGCACTTCTTATACCCCTTTCCATATCAGCTGGAAACGACCACACAAGGGGCCGCAAGGGGTAGAGAAGAATTCCCCAGTACTCCAAGGGGATGAAATTACAAGGGCAACATGTAATGTTACAAGAAGGAAGTTTTGGGAGAGTAAGTGGTTATGTTTCGCGCATAACAGTCGACATGTGATACGAGAGACCGATGTTACAGAAGTCGAACGAGACTAAGAAATTGGGGGCCTCTCGCTTAGATGCTCGATATGCTAGTGGGCTTCAAAGTGTTTAAGGCAACTTCAGGTACGGTAGGTTAGGTACCTACTTAGCCATTAGCCGAACTAATGTTCCTAGAGACTAATGCGGCACGATCACATATCCCTGTTTAGATATACTATGAGATATTTATCGTGTAGCCTACCTCTAAAGAATAATGTAAAAACTTCGATGTATTATCTTCAACAGAGACAGCATCATGGAGTGATTCTAAATAAAAAGAAATTATAGGTTAGGTACGTTCCGCTAAATCGAGTATTTTTACTTACTAAATTTAGACAAAGAACGAAATCGAAGTCACACACTATAGGAACTCGATGGCAAACTTGCGAGAGCTTCAGCCGACACTTAGCACTCGCCAAGACTGATGAACTACCCAGTTTTGGAAATAAAATCCTAGACTGTTCTAGATTTGAGACTGGGGAATCCATGTAAATGGCATGTTTCTAAGACAGAGTAGGGAAGAATTTTGTGCTTTGATCTTCTTTCCCGTTATTACCCTATTGTCAAGTGGCTCGAACAGTTAGTATATCTGTCGATTTCATCAGACACCAGCCGTATGAGCTGTCGAGACCTCACTACGCATGATAGTGTTACAACGAAAGTCTTATCCCTCCCGATTACTTAGATCTATGGGATGCTATACTTCCAGGGGAAGGGGCATATATGAACCATTATTCGCAACTTCGACGACGATCTCTACCCCTTGAGTCAACTCACCCCGCGATTCGATCTTGATCTTGATCTTATCTGCCGATAAATCAGTTTGCACGGATACTCTGATGATCAGCCACCATGTCGGATAACGCTCAGGCTCCATCGGCGCCAGCCAACCCTAATCCCACGAGTTGGCTTCAAAATTTAGGTATCGCCATAGAGGTTGTATGTCCTGCGCTGGCGTTGTTGGTGGTCGTCTTGAGGACTTATATCAGGCTCGACACAAAAACGTTTGGTTGGGGTAAGTTTAGCGAAACAAATCCTACAAAAGTTGAGCGGAATACTGACGAACGTTACCATGTAGACGATGGCCTCATCGTTGCTGCAATGGTGTTGAGCATCGCCATGGCAGTAGGATCAATCAAAGGTACACAAACACGTACTCTATCAGTCGATTCCGAGGCCTAACGACATTATAGTCATGAAAGCGCTGTTCATAGGAATTCACTATTATGACGTTCCTCAACCCTTCGATCCCACCGAGGGACTCGTCTGGATTTATGTCGTCGGCGCTGTGTACCAACCAATCTTAACACTGGTAAAGCAGTCGGTTCTCGTCTTCCTACTCCGCTTCTCGGGTGTCAAGGCCGGTGTTCGATACGTTGTCTGGGGCACTATCATATTTAACACGGCCCTAATGGTCGCGATCTTTCTCACCGTCATCCTTCAATGCATCCCAATCGAAATGAATTGGAATCTGCTGGTCCCAGGCCACTGCATTGAGCAATTCAAATTTGGGGTTGTGGCCGCCTGCATGACCATTATGACTGATATTGTCTCGGTTGCACTTCCATTCTATATTTTCCTAGGGTTGAAGATAAATAAAAACAGGAAGATTGCCCTGATTGGTGTCTTCATGTTAGGTATACTGTAAGTGACCCCTATTCCAACGACAAAGACGCTTGAACTACACATCCAAGGCAGAAGACTAACGCAGATCTTACAACAGTGTCACCATCGTCAGTATAATCAGACTCTGGACACTCTCAGAGAACTTCAACGACCAAGACCCCGACAAAAATTTCAGTGTGGGGTTCACGGTGTCCAGCATTGAGGTAAACCTAGCAATTATCACAGCGTCTTTCCCGGCACTTTGGCCCCTTATCAGAAGGATGTTACCGAAAAACCTCAAGTCCTCCTATTACGGTCACCAAAAATACGGTGGCGTATCACACGCACAACAGGGCTATATCAAGACCACCGACGGGCCAGACAGTGGTATTGGGTTGAAGGACATGAACGGCCGCCGAATTCGGACCGAAGTTCGATCACAAAGAGACTCCGACGAAGAGATCCTTACCGGGACTGGTATCATGCGTACCACGCAATTTACCGTTTCGACTGAGGATGATCACTCGCGTACAGGACGGGGAAGTAACTTTGATGATCGCACGACGCGATCTAAGGTCTCAAGCAATGGCTCGCTGTGAGCTGCAAACCATCATGTACAATAGTGGATGGCGTTAGGGGGCTACAGAGTAGCTATTTTCTTAGAAAAGGGGGAAGTGTCAGATGTTTCACCTTGGAACAAAGAACCATCTTGTATGTATTAGGTACCTTGAGTCTAGACCAGATACCTACCTAAGTTTCCAGTCCCTCGCGGAACAACATGTTCTTTCCCGGTGCGCCAGGTGACAGGAAGGAAATTTCGTATGCAAGTATACAGCTTCACAGATTAGGTATACGTTCACGATAGCCGATTCATTTTTTCTAACGTAGTGGCTCCATACCTTAGCCTGTCCCAAGCGTACAGCCTTAAATTTCGGAAAGCGGCAGCGGCTGATTGTCAAACTCGTCATAGGGCCGTTAGCTTCTTCAATAGTTTGAGACGAATGTGTTAGTGATCGCACGGTTCGCCTTTCAAAAGACCCTTTTCACCCACCGCATCCTAGGACCTGTGCAAAGCTGATTTTCAATAAATTCAAGGTGCCAAGAGCTGTCGTCCCTAATCCGTCTATAGTGACACTGTTATACTTGCAGCATTCGTTTCCTGGCGCCATTACTTCGGACCTCACTATGCCACCTACCGTATTAGTCCCGAACGAGGCCAGTCTAGTAAAAACTGATCTACAAGGATATCCAAAAGGGTACCCTTAATCGAGCGTTGAAGGGTCAGGATCACTCGCATATAGCCATAATAAATATGACACACAACCCCGACAATGGTTCATCATAGAGAAGATGAACAATGATTAAACCACAGATTTTCGATACCGACGTCTATTCTCTACGATCCTACCCTACCATGCATAAAATGGATTGCCCCGGAGCTTGGCCTGCATGCGTACCTACCTATGTAGGTAGGTAGTCATCCACGAAATGCTACGTAACGGTCCCTTAAGCTAGTCCCTTCTAGTCCAGTTACTTAAGCGTTCGGGCTTATTCGAAGTTTAGAACGACACGGAGAGTAACCCCGACAGCCACGGCGGCCGAGTGTGGTATCATTATGGGAAATTCTTGATTTTCTACGAACAACATTTGTATCCACACTTTGTCCTAGACATATACAGCCCGGAGAGCCCCGGGGATAAGGAACCTAAAAATTGCCTGTTTCGTAGGTAGATTTGCCCGAAATCGCAGTCCCTAAGCACGCCGGTGATATGGTCGGTCTTTTTTAGACAAGCACGCTAAGAGAAAAACAAAGAGCCATCTATGCCTGTCCCACCTTATTTATCAAGTATGTAAGTGACGTCGGATTATCGTTACATTACCCCTGAGCGTCACCTGCATGTGGTGTATCTTAAAGATACGTACGTTCAAAGCTAATTCAAAATGATACATCTCCGTATGTCGGTTTTAAATACTACAACACATAGCATCAAGAAGCTATTGTTCTATGCAGCAAGAGATACCTACTATTAAGTAACTCTAGGACCGGTTCCTCTACTGGCTTCCACGCACGCGCGTCTTCTCTCCACTTGCCATTAAGGTTCGGCATATCTAGTCGAATACAATTTACTAACTTAGTGCATGCCTCCGTTGGATTATTGGCATCGTGGCCAAAAGCCGGACTGGCAGAATAGATTGATCGACGTGCTGTGTGGGTTCTGGTATCTTGAGTGTCAAATTTTTACCTCATCTTATAATTAGGTACGTAATCTATATGTTAAGTGGCGTTCATGTCACATACCTAGCTACTACGTACAGCACATGTAGAGCAGCTTAATTTAGAGGATCTTAATGAATAGGTACCTACTTAGGTTTTCCTCTACGAATATTATCTTTAGTGCCCCTTTTTCCAAGAATAAGGAAATAGCTTGAAATCGCATCACCATTACAACTTACCTAATCCTCACAGCTTACCTAGTCATCACCATATAGCGCTATACGGTTTAATTAAATCTTACAAGTACAATTATCAATGTGGATAATTGCATACCCCTCGATATTATTATCCTTTTAGCTGGATTCCAGTTTAGTGCAACTAAAAGAGGGCACATGTAGGCGATCACCTAATACGGTTTGGATCTGCAATAGTGACGTAAAAAGTGAGAAATATAGAAAAAGAATCGAAAGCACAAGAAAAAAGAAATATTTAGTAGGAACGACACAGGCCCGATTCGAACGGGCGCCTCCGAAGAGATGTGATAGACACTATCATAGACCGAAGTCTAGACAGAAATTCGAGTCACACGCGTTAGACCACTCCGCCACTGTGCCTTACTAACAAGCTCGTACTTGATAGGCTGATTTCCTGTGGAGTTGTGTAAGCTATTGCTAATTATGTACTATGATCTTGCTCTCCGGAAATATGCCGGAGCTTGTCATTTAGCTCAGCGCAGAGATCCCATGATGTTTGGAATCGCCCGACTTTACGAGTCTACATCCAACGCATATGTATCGCTTGAGCACTAAGAGCACTGTGCGTATTAAAAAAAGATTCCATATAATAGATTCCACAAGATCTGAATCTTTCGATGTGATGAATAACGCAGTTATTGTCAAGGGCAGGCTACAGCTATCATAGATCTCTTCTGCACTTTCAAGACATACCTAATATGCGTCGTCTCTATCTAATACTAGATGACCTAACTGACTAAATTGACGAGCCAGGCATTAACACAATCACCTCCAGACACACTAGCACCTATTCATTCATTTCCCGTATCCTCATCCGTCATTGTGTTCTAGTTACGAATTCTCACGGATAAAAGTGCATTGTATTTATTTATCCATTTCGTACTCAGCTGGTCAGAAGCTCCCCGTCAATCGAGCTTGGTAATAAGCCAAGTTGCTTTTCACGTCCCCTTCAAAACCAACACACACTTCGAGCAACCGATAGCATAAATAGTTCCAATAAACCTACTACTAGCTACCAAAGCCATCGTAAATCGGTAATTTGCGTAAATACGCATGGTATAGAGCCGCAAATAGAGGTGAATGAACGCCACGCGCCACACAAAAGGATGGGAGCGGGCGCCTATAACAAAAGGCCTCCATTACCAGACAATATACACGGCTCAGAAAAGCCAACGCCACGAGGAGCACCCCTCCCCCCTTTTAGGTTCCACTCAACTTATACGTATTTCAATAGCCTGCGTACTTTAACTATGTAGTCAGGCGCGACCTCGCCCCCTACCTCTCCCTCTTCCTCGTCCGCGACCGCGTGTGGCTGCGAAATGCTTCCTAGGAGGAGCATCAGTAATGTCATTGTAACCATCCGAGTCCGAGTCTTCCGAACTACTCTCGTCTGAGAATGACAGCCTCACAACCGTCGGGCCGCCTGATTTTCTGACAGGTCGCTGTGGTTCCGGAGCTTCGCGCTCTGGCGTGGGACTGGGCGAAGGTGAATCCACAGGTTCAGGCTCAGCAGGCTCGAAATCATCATCAACAAGTTCTTTACGGCCTCGTTTGGGGCTAGGCTTATCAAGCTCTTCGACATCATTTGTTTCTTCTGTTGGTTTATCACCCGTGTCTTGAGCAGTCGTGGTTGTAGGGGTTGCTTTGGCTGATGCCGTTGCAGGGCTTCCCGTGGCTCCATCTCTCGTTCGGCGAGAACCTATCTTGATTTTCCTGCCCCTCAGAGCGGCTCGTTCCCTCATAGACATGAAACGGATATCAGGAGAAGGCTTTAGGTCATCGGGGTTGGGTGTCGCGGGCGATTGTTGCGCGCGAGGACGTCCCGGCGGTCGGCCTCTTCTCCTCACAGAACCTCCACGAGGCGTAGCTGTAGTCGGTCGCGACTGTCCGTCGCCTCCATTCGTATTGCCTAATTCTTGCGCTAATTGAGCTTCTAGGTCATCCACGGTAACGTCATTCCCATTCTGAGTGACGTTAGCGTCTTCGGCATCCACCATAATACTGTCCTCGCCATTTTCAGGTTGGTTTTCAGGTTGTAGTGTAGACTTTCTCGGCCGTCCCGGTGGGCGGCCACGCTTTTTACCAGTCGATGGTGCCGCTGACGGAGGGGTGCCCGTTCCAATAGAGCTTCTAGGTGGCCGCCCTCGCCTTTTGGCCCCGGGCTGGGGGGTACTTTTAGCAGTGGCTGAGATCCCTCCTTCGGGCACGGGAAGTTGGGTTAACGCCCGAATTGCATCCGCTGCTAAATCCACAGGGTTTGGTTCCTCCTCCGCCGCGCCATTCTCGCTGTCCGACCCGAAAATTCTCAAAGGTTTGATTAAGACAGAATCGTTCGGGTCCTCAGGGGGCTCTTCGGCTTCCACGTATGACGCCATCGGTTTAGCATGTCGTAAAGTCGGTCGTAGCGGGTCAACAGGAAGAGGTTGCCGCGTCTTCTTAGGGAGAGGAGCCGATTCGGAAGTCTCTTTAGGTTGCGCTTCTGCAATGCCATCGACTGGTTGTTCGCCAGAGTCACTGGGGGCAGTCACTCTAGTTGGCGTAGAGCTACTATTACCGAGAGCTCCAAGCAAAGCTGGATCCAAGTTGACAAGCTGGTCAATATTCCCAGTCTTAGGCTTTTTGCGCTGCTGGCTTCGAGGACCTCTAAAGTCGGGATCATCCTGCGTTTCAAGCCTTGCCCTTCTTTTCGCGAGCCGAAGCGTCTTTTTGACGAACTCAGATATTTCAGGCTCGTTATTTATAGCGTCGGCAGATGGCATTTGGAAGGGGTCGAATAGGATCTTATCTGTACTCTCGTCTTGGTCGTAGAATCCCATTCCCATCATTCGTTGGCGGCCGACCACTGATGGGTCGGGATATTGGGATGGATCAGGGTAGGCAGAGTCCCCGTCACCGTTCTGTATAACAGATACGTCGGCGCCCTCAACATGATCCTCTTGTCCATTCACATTATCCGACCTATCTACAGAAGACATTTCACCGTTCCTATAACCATTCGTAGCGGTGTGGTTATGACCTAAAATGTGGCTTTGATCCCCATAGCCATTCATCATTGAATCCTGAAGAGCAGAGTCCATCTCTTGGGGAGCGTCGTCCGCCGCATTGAATGATGCCATGGGATCCTTGGCTTTTTCAGCATCTGCCTGCTCCTTCAATCGTTGCATCCGCCTCGTATCTTTGCTCCGATTTTCCTCTCCAGCAGCTTTCAGCCAACTAAGATTGTGTACCCGGAAGTCCACGATCGATTCAACGCTACGGTCGTCTGCGATGGGCCGCGTGTCATGTCCAAGGAGTGTATTCTTGGGAACATATGGATTTGTGTTGCCACTCTGTCGACAAGATCCGCAGTTGCAAATATTGAGACATTTAGGGCATTGCCAATATTCCTTCTCCATTGCTGTCTGGGGCATCATATCGAATGCTCGCCATAGAACACCATAACAATATGCGTTCTGGCACGTTGTGCAGAAACTAAGCTTATACGTATACTCTTTATGACAGCAGACATGGCAACGGTAGACATCGCCATTCTTTGCTTTGCGTCTCGACTTAGGTTTTTTCTTGACGCGACCCTCATCATCTACTTCAGGCTCAGATACCTCGGCTGGGAGTTCGGCCGGCTTTGTAATATCCTTCCAGGGCCGCTTTCGAAGTTGTTCTTGGCAAATCTGAGCGACTGACTTCTTGCCTGTTTTCTTCCGTGCAACTTCAATAGGCTGAGGGGATAAATCGATATCGACAAATCCATCTTGTTGGATGACCATTGCCCTCCAGGTCTCATGTTTCTCAATGAGATCCGACCACTTCCATTGCTCGCACCACTGAAGACCAGAGATGCAGACACATGAACGACCCATAGCGTAACATTCCATGCAAATATCGTATGTATCTTCGTCGCCATTGATGAGCGTGCGCACGCAACACTTGCAAGTCAAAAAACGATTGAATATGTTGGATCGGCAGTAAGAGCATGTAATGTTTGAGTCGAACGGGACGTACTCAACGTCCGTCTGCTTATACCCAAACATCTCATCAACAAGGATTTCGGTAAAAAGGGCGAATAAACGTTTAAAGTCGTTGGCCATCTGTCTCTTGCGTGACGAATTTTGCATTAATTCCTGACCAAGACCCAACCAACTAACTTCGGAGTTTTCCTCGAAAGACTGGAGATCCTTGTAGTACTTTTCTAAAGTGTAATAGATGATAGCTTTATTTTTGTATTGCTCGTCTCGGCATACCAGTCGCGCCTTTGGCAATGCCTCGTGAAGGGCTAAGTCAAGCGTTTCGACTGTCGTCCTATTCCATGCAACTTTCATAGTCCTTGTCCCGCGATTCCAAACCTGATGTGGTGCTAGCGGAGGTATTAGAATGAAGTCGCCAACCTTTTGCTCAACGATGTAGACGGGGAAGTTAGCTTTCTTCCAAGCATTGATCTGAGCGAAATGCTTCTCAATCTCAATATCGTGGCCAAGCATAGAGAGGAAGTACTCGCGGACAACCTCACGGTCCTTGGTCTCAGTCATGAACCAGATAGAACTACCAGGCTTCTCCCCATTTTCGTCTTCCGAGGCTTCGACCATGATGTTCTGACCCAGGCTTGCGCACATCTCTCGATGCGCAGGGGTATACGTTCCTTCATGACCGATATAACACATGAGGTTCTGCGCACGCATCTCTTCCGGGAGGCTACTCATCAAATCACCAGCGACAGCAGGAGTTTTTTCAGGCGCACCAAAAATATCATCGTTCCGGGCGTCTGCGCTTGGATTCTCACTAATGTTCTCATTCATATAGAAAACATTCGGTGGGATGACCTTCTTCAGATGCTCATACCACTCGGGAGGGCAGTCGATATCTTTGAGGTAAAGTCGTTGTCTTCGTTCGTCGCGGAAATTTGTAGGGGTCCATTGGTTGGTTAGCTGTCGCATGGACCTCAAGTAATGGCCGGTAGTCATTGGAATATCGGCCTGGGCAGTTATGTCGCGAACATTCTCCTCTACCAAGGCATATTAGGTGATGTAATCCTCTTTTGCGACGGGAGCAGAACTCACGTTTCTTGTCATACGTTTTCTCCAACCAGGCAGCGCTGAAGAGGTCCTTAGGTAGGACTTTATTCCAACCTTCTATAACTAACGGTCGACCTCCTTCGATAACATGTAACTGTACGAGTTTTTCGAAGCCAGAAGGGCCGAGGCGCCTGATCTGGGCGGTGGAGATGCGCACCACCCAGTCGAAGTTCGGGGAGCGATCGACGAGTGCATGGAGATCGAGATCCGGAGGTATTGGATCGAATTTAGCTTGGGGATGCAATGCGGTCGGCATTTTCGCGATCGTAATATGATCCTAGGACCGACAGTGAG